ATCTCTTTGGTGCCAGAAGAAAATATGCATTCACTCCTGAAGCCTGTTTTTCTGATGCACTCTTCATCTGGGCAGAACCTGGGATCAGAACCTTGCTAGAGTTTTGTCCTACCCTTGTCATTACCCCCATCCTCCCTAAGAAAGGACAGGAGAGGCAGCTGAGCAAATAATGTGCCATTTTGGGACCATGTCCCTGCCAGCTGTTACAGCTGTTACAGGCTGTTAGGTGCTCTGGAGTCTGACATGTACGAGTCACTCAGAACTTAGGGTTAATGACGCTCTGAAAAGCTCAAATACTTTTTTTTTTTCTTGTAATTTATATTTTAGCCACAGCCTGGACTTGGTCAGTTCAGAATGTGAATATATTTGAATATGTTCATTTTTCTTTGGATATCAAAATAGAGAGGTTATTCCCTCTGTACACATTTAATGATATTCAGTTGCTTCTTGATAACTGCTCCATTAATGCCTGTCAGCATGGCATCTTCTCTGCTCATATCCTCCTCCCAGACAAGACAGCTTTCCTAGCAGAAGGGAGATACTTAAAAAAAAAAAAAAAGGCAAAATGTCAGCAGGATGTTCCCAGATGACATGCCCTGGGAGATTCATGACGCAGTGGTAGCTGTGAAGAAATGCTGATGTGACAGGTGGCTGACAGTTTGGTACTTTGTCTCTAATCCTTCTGAACTAGTGGCAGACACTTTCTTAAATATAGTGATTACCATGAGAAACCTCTCCCAAAAAGTGTTATTTACAGCAACCATCATAAGATGATAGTTGACATGCCTGGAGCCTTTCCATTATTTTTCAGAGGACAAATATCATAGGTCAGGAGCTGTGGAATAATGATAATAATAATGGATTAATATAATAATAAAACAGACCCAAAAGTCTGAATAAAATAAAGCAGAGTTTGAATAAAACAGACTCCAAAGCCTGGGGCATACTGTATTTACTAAACAATTTGGTAAAATGGGCTGAGGCAGCTGTTTGTGCTAAAGCAAATCAGGGAGAAGTTGCCTTCGGGTGACTGAAGGGCTGGCTCAAAAGCAGCCATTTGGACTGGTTTTCTCTGCCTGGAATACAGACATATTGCTCCCTGGGCATCCTTCTGTAGAGGTACTGCTGTGACTGAGACTCATCTCCAGAAATAATCAGTGCATTACTGGTAGCAAGATGGTAGCCACCTTCTAGACATGCAGCCATTATTTTTTCTTGGACCACAGAAATTATATATCCAAGGTAAAATAAACATAAAACCAAATTAAGTTTCTCCCCAAAATGTTTTTGTCTGAATAATTAAGTCCTCAGCAAATTTTCTCATAATAAAACATGTCCTAATGAGCTATCAGGACGAGAGCAAATTCATCACTTACCTCACAAATATCAACTTGAGAGCACTGCTCGTGTCAGATGCCATAATTAATGACTTGAGAGGGAGCTTGGAGCAGCACAGCCAGAACCACAGTCCCCATCAGTCATTCCACATCAGTCCAACTCATACATGTTACTTGATCTACAGAGGATTAGCCAAGCAGCTAGGAGGAGATATAGGGCTGAAGGGAATAGAGGCAAATACTGTATCTCTAACCTTGATTTATCCAGCTTGGTTTTCTGCTTATCACTGAGGTGCAATGGCAGTTGATCGTGAAGCCTGTTTTATTTTCGTGCTTTTTTTTTTTTCCCCAGAGAAATGGAATTTACAAACTTTGAACTTCACCCTCCTTGATGCTGAGAAAGCCATCTTCAGTCCCATGTCAGCACCTGCTCCCCTTGGGGTTTCTTCCTTGCAGGAGAGGGGTTCAATTCTGGTGCAGCAAGCCTGGGTGGGTGACCTGGAGCAGGTGAGACACCTCTGTGCTGTGGGCAGGAGGCCTGGGATGTCACGTTCAAGGTGGTGTTGGCCATGGTGGGGCTACAGTAGGAAGACACCTGAACTGTGCTTCTTGTGAGGCCACCACCAGAACCATCACACATCCTTCTCTTCTCTCTGTGCTGTGCAGTTGCAAGAACTATCCTACTGGCTTCCTCCACAGTGCAAAAGGGACAAAATGACCAAGTGCCTGCTCCAGTGGTAACTCTGTCCTAAAGACATTCACAGAAGCAAAGATGGGGGATGCTTTGGAGGGACAAGTCTCCCTACTTGGATGGGAAAGCTGAGACAGCAGGCCAGTAGTGCCAGCTGTTGTAATGAGAACCTGAGATGGCCAAAGCTGGTCAGACCAAGTGATCATCTTGCCAGGGATCCCATCTCCAAGGACAGCCAGGAACAGATGTTTGGTTCAGAGAAGAATAGAGCATTCTGGCAAATGCAGAGTGATAATTTTGACTCTACATTCCCAGCAACCTGCTGTCAGGGACTTCCTGAGCTGAAGGTTACTTCCCAGCTCGGTATTTTGCAATCCCTGCTGGGCTCTTTTTTCCATTAATTTCTCTAATATCTTTTGCCACCAGCATTTATTTTTGGCCCCTGCAGTGTGTGCCACAGAATAACTATGTGCTCTGTGAAACATGTGCATTTTTTCCTCTGTTTCCAAGTTTCTGCCTGACCTGTATATTTGATGTCCTCCATTCCCTGTGATATAAGAACAAATGAATAATCATTCACCTTGCCTTTCTCCTCCAGTGTCACCATGTTGAGGAAAGTAAGCCTATTAGAGTCTTCTTTACAAAACACTATCAAATATACTCCACTGAAACAACTGTACGTTTCAGAGACCAAGTACAAGCCTAGCATAATATTTTTTTTTTCTTTTAGGATTTACATGAGCGAAAAGTATGAGAAATCCAGGCAACTGCCAAAGAGATGGCTGGCAGGTTTTATTTCTACCCCTTTGCTCACTTCAGTGTGTGGTCACTCCATCTGACCAAGCCCTGTGCTTCAGTAGCTGTCAGCCTGCTAAGTGCAGCTGTTTTACATGTCTGTTCACATTTGTAAATGCCTGGCTGTATATTCTGAAACTCTCCAATAGATGCTTGCTTGAGTTAGTTCACCAGCAAAGACAACTTTATCTGCTCTACAAGTGATCCCCCTGTTCACCTCTGCAATAACCCTCCTGTGGTTGCTGGTGGTAAGATCTGAGCATGGGGCTTGCCTGAGGCAAAGCGCCCTTGGCATCTGCTGGTCCCTTCTGTGGGCTCCAGTGTAAGCAATGACTGGGCTTTTATGTTGGTGCTGACCTCCCAGGTTAACTTCAGAAAACATTATCTGGCAAATCTGATGTGTTAGGTTTCAAAGAAAAGAGTTTTCCAGCTCAATCCAGGTCTGATTTCTTTCCAGATAAAGGACAAAACCCACTGGGAAATGAACACTTCTTGGAAGCAAGGTTAAGAGCAATAAACTTTCCTCCTTACTGATAGACTGAAATATCAGCAAAATCCTTTCTATTAGGAGCACACGTCTATCCCCACAGGGTCAGGTCAGTGCTCATCTTGCAAAACTGAAGTACAATTTTTGATGATCAGAGCTGGGTAAGGATCAGAAAACAGGCCTAACACATTTCGTATATACTGACAAAAATTTTTCTTCAAGAAATACTTCCCCTGTACAGACAGAGTGAGATTTCAAGACAGTATGCATTGCAAATGATTTGCAATGAAGCTGAATTAATGTTCTCTCTGAGAATGCCCCCAGTGCCTGCCTCAGGATTGCATCTATAACCTAACCTCTTGACAGTGTAGAAAAATAATTGTTTAGTTGCCCCATGGAAACACAAGCCTGAAATCCCATGTGTACTATATTTGGGGTCCCTGTCCCTCCTCTGTTTCTCTAAACACTGCCCAGGAAGTGGCACAGTGATAAAATGAGGATTAAGGAGCGATTTCAGACCTGCAGCTGATCCCATACTGGATATGGTTAGGAAATTGGATTAGAAATTACTTTACCTGGAACTGGAGATTAATTGTGGTGTCTTCTGCTGGAAAGGGGATTCATGTTTGGATGGAAAAAATGAAATTCGGATTGAGGGGAAACTATAACTTGGGGTCAGTTTAATATGGATTTTTGTGCTGGGGGGATCTGAGCACAAGTCACGTTCCTCTCTCTGGTGCTTTCCTGAATCCTGGCCTTGCAGTTTTGGGCCCTACAGCTGAAGGAATGCCCTGCTGTCTTTCCAAGCATTGTGTGGGGCAGGGAGCTGCTCACTGATGTAAGTGAGAGCAGGGTGGATGTTCATCTCTGGGAATCAAATGCCACCTGTTCCTGCCATGCAGCATCATTGTTGTGCTTGTCTGTTCTCAGCTTGATGTCCACAAGGAGCTTGCTTAGGGTTATTTTTTTTCACTCCTAGTCTGTCTGCCAACCAGGGGATAATGCAGCTGACCCCAACACTGTGCAGCCCCTAAATTACACCGAGGCTCAACAAAAGTTATTCGACTTCTTCTGAGCCCTTGCTACCCTTGAAATAACTTGGTAAGGGCGTGACCATTTGGTCTAGGAACAGAACCTTGATCTGCAGGTCCTGGGGTGGCTGTGCACTGTCTGTTGTTGCCACTTTCTGAGGTTGGTGGCCAGATTTTTGGAAACTCGGGTCAAAACTTGCTGGGATCCAGCAGCCTCGAAGAAGCCAGTTTGCTGGGTGGGTGTTTGTTTGTTTGTGTTTGGGCTTTTTTTTTTGTTGTTGTTGTTGGGGGGGGGGGTGTTTGTGGTGGAGGGGCCGTGTGTCATGACCATCAGCAGGGGTGTCATCAGGGTCCTGTGTCATTAGGGGTCCCCCCACCGAACGGTGGTACCCGGCCCTGCTGGAGACACACGGACTGATTTAACCCCTGGGCGCCAGGGTGCAGTAGCGGCCAGATTTTCCCGAAGAAGAGGGATCCCCCACAACAGCTCTTTCCCCTCCCGCTTCCCCCACAAACCCTGGAGCCATCAGCAGGGACAGCTCGGGCTGCGGGAGAGCCAGCAGCCGTGTCTGGAGGAGTCATTTGCATTTCATTTCCATTGCATTGCATTGCACTGCGCATCCTCCCTCCCTCCCCACCGCCTACTGCTGCAGCCTTTCTCACTCCATCCCTCCATCCTCTCCCCCTCCCACCCCGCATCGCGCCCCCTGCGTCTCTCCCTCCTGCATCCCTCCCTCCTGCATCCTTCCCTCCTGCATCCCTCCCTCCTGCATCCCTCCTCCTGCATCCCTCCCTCCTTCCCTCCCTCCTTGCCTCCCTCTCCCTGCGCAGAGCCGCGGACATGGCGCTCAGCAATTTCCTCTTCGCTCAATGCATCTGCTACTTCCTGGCCTTCCTCTTCAGCTTCATCGTGGTGGTGCCGCTCTCCGAGAATGGCAACGACTTCCACGGCCGGTGCCTGCTCTTCACCGAGGGCATGTGGCTCAACGCCAACCTGACAGTGGAGCGGCAGCGCTTCACGGTACAGGAGTGGGGGCCCGAGGCCGCCTGCCGCTTCAGCATCTTCACCGGGCTCCTCTCCCTGCTGCTGGCCACAGTGCAGGCCTGGAGGACCCTCTTCTTCCTCTGCAAAGGGCACGAGGAGTAAGTATCCCCTGGGGACAAGCCCGTTCCTCCTGCAGTTTGGGGCACGTGGGAGCAGTCTGGGGGTGAAGCATTGGGCTTTGCATCCTCCAGGTCATCCTTCTCCCCAGAGGAGTTTGGGGTGAGGTGGTGTACTGCCCATGTCTGTCTGCAGACGCACCAAATACTCCCCCACCCTGTGTCCAGGGCCCTTCTTTGGTACTCCCTGCAGAGGTTTGGGTTGGGGGCCCAGATCCACTGCTGTGCACCTGCTGCCTTTTGGCACTCTGGGAGCAGCAGAGGCCAGCTCAGCCACAGTGGGCACGGAGGGTGCTGGGGGCCGTGGGGTGATGCTGGAGGCTGGAGCTCTCACGTGCCTCTTGACATGTCCGTGCAAAGAAAGGCCTTTTCCAGGTGTACACCAGGTGTGTGAAAAACCGTGAAACAACACGGCTGTGCGTGGGGGCACAGAAGGGAGAAGCTGGTGACTACCCTCCATTTTCTATCCTGCTTTTGTTGTGGACATGGCAACTACTGCAGGCAACAACTATTGCTTGGTTACAACGTGAGAGCAACGCTGAGCGCTCCCTGCAGCAGCTCAGGGCTGCACTGGCAGCTGGTTCCTGTGCTCAGACAAACCAAGGGGCCTCTGACCCCAGCTGGTGTAATGAGAGGCTTGGTGGACCGGGCAGCAGCTCAGGAGCTCTGTGCTCTGTTCTTGCCTCTCTGGTGGCATGAGAGGCCAGAGAGCCCCTGGCACAGGTAATGCAGCCTCTGGGTGCTACAGGGCCAGGACTGGAGGATGGCCCTGGCGTCTGTCTAGACCAGGAAAGTATGTTTCTTATGGTTTAGGGACCATTCCAAGGATAAATCACTCCTGTCCAATCTGTTTGGACTAGAGGTTTCTTGAGTCAGGGGCTGTTACTCACCTCTGGCCTTGGTAACACTGGGGACTGTCCAACAGTGCTGTCTCTCTGGCTCTTTCCAGCCACTCTCAAGCTGCCTAATACTAAAACATGCTGTAGTAAGTACAGACCGGAAACTTATTTCCATATTAAAACTAAATACAACCATGTACTTCTTAATATCTTTGAATCCAGCTTGCTCAGGTGATCCAATACCTACAGAGTATTAATTGAATCTAGATGCTTTGCAGTTCAGAGCTAGTTAATTTTTGAGAAGAAACCAGCAGTAAAAACCTTGTAATAGTGAAATTTGGATCAGATGTTTGGCCCCCTTCCAAATGTGGCTATTTACTGCAAAACTGTTGGTCAGACCCCTGAAAATTACCCCTTTAGGAGTTGCTTTCAGGCTCCTTTGGGCTGAACATCATCAGTTGTATAACACTGCTCATAGTTGCTCCAGGCAAGAAGGGTAGAAGGCTGTGGGGCTCGTGGAGAGCAAAGATGGAGCAAGTGGGGATGATGAGATAACCATGGAAGATCACAGAAGGGTAAAACAGGATGAGAAGGAAGCTGCTTGGAAACAGCAGTTTCCTAAAAAGAAGGAAGGCCTGTCCTATACTACATCTGCCACTGTCTGTATGAAAAGTGGGCAGGACACATGCTGTTCTGATTTTAGACAGACATTTGTTAATGCTTCAAATGGACCTGAAAACATTTCCGTTTGGATGGAGAGATAAATGCAAGCTCCTTGCCATAAATGATAATTGTCTCTTCTGATCAGAGGCAGTTGAGGAAGAACCAGAATGTCATCACTAATGATCCTGTTGAGGAGGATCAGTGCTACTGGGCCAGCTCCAGTGTGAGCCAGCCGAGGAGGTCAGGGTTAGTTAACACTCTGTGCATCCTTCATGTGCAGTGGATTTCAATGACTGCTGTCAGATAGCTATGACTGCTAAAACAGCTTCCTAAAAGTGTCTCATCACCCCTTACCTCAGGGGCCTGGAGCTATTCAGCTCAGCTGAATACAACTGAATACAACTCACTACTAGGATTGCAAAGCAACTTTGAGTGTAAGCATTTATCATTACACAGTTGATGATCCCCTAAATAGTCCTGGTAACTGTTCCCTTTCTAGAGCTGTTACTAATTGTGGTATCAACTCTGTTTTATTCTGTGAGATCTCAAGTCTTTTCTGCCTCTCAGGCCAGCATACCATACTAAGGTGCATGTGGTGGATATGACTTTAGCAACACCTGGGATGAAATCCAGGCTAGGTGTGAAAAGAGGGAGGGGCAGAGAAGATGGGAAACCATGGTTCAAACCAGCTCCCTCTGTACAAGTGACAGCAGCACTCAGTAGAGGTGAGCTGATCTGCTTCACCAAGTCCAGCTAAACCAAAGAGTAGGATTCATCTTATTGTTCATCTAGAAGTCAGGTGTCCTGGCATCCAGCTCCCACCAGAGTCTATAAGGGCATTTCTGGAAGGTGGTTTATTTCACTTCTTTTCTGTCAGTCTTGGGATGACACAACCATGACTTTGGAGAGCGCCTAAACAGCCCCTCTAAAACCATGTCAACCCAGGAACAAACATCATAATCCTGCTGATAATTGCTTCCTCATCTCATTTTAAATAATTCTACCGAGGCCACATATGTATCACCATATGTATCCCCTGTAGAAATTACGATTGTCCAGCCCAGAACCTTTCAGGATTCGAACACTCATTCAAAAGTCCACTTAGTGTTTCAATTAATGAGCAACCAGGGAAAAGAAGTGACTGGGGATTTTGTGGTCTCTGGGGTGAGTAGATGTCCTATTCTAAACAGCCACCTAGAGCAGTTTCAAGTAGCAAAGGGCTTGGTCAGATGAATAAGAAGAGGATTGGAAACTTTTCCATAGCTAGAATTAAGGGGAGGAGTTAAACAGTGAGGTTGGAAAATGAGTGAATGATTTCATGGCCTTATGGGACCACTGCAGGCATCCCACCTTATCCCACTCCAAATACAGCATGTGCCAATGGCTGGCCTGGGTTGGGCAGCCTTAATGGGACTGAGGTGGATTGATATTCAGCTGGCAGAAATAATGTACTGACACAAGCCAGAGGAGTCCCAGGAGAAGCTGGCCTGCTCTGCAAATTGCCCATAAAGCTGGGATTCGTGTCCTGTGATGGCAGTAGCTTGTGTTACATTGCTTAAAATGATTACAGCTATCAGTACCATGTTTTTATTTTTAGTTTCCCTCTCCTAAGCAATTTTTGTCCCAATTATCACTTTAGTCATGAAATAATTTTAGCTCCAGTTACTACATAATTTGAGTTAATGACATTTATTTTAACAATGGTGATTTTCATCATTACAGCTAATGAAAGCCATGCAGTGTATGAACAATCGCCCCTCAGCACTTATATTTAAAGCCCCATTCTCTTATGGTGAAAAAAAAAAAAGACTAAAAGCAAAAGCACTTATAAATGAAGATAATATGACTCAAAATCATAACCCATAGTGTTTCAGTGTATTAGGTGTTCTTAATTAAAGCAGATGTATTTCAAATGCAAACTGATATCTTTGTGCCCAGTGTATGCTGCTTACAGAGAATGCTGATGTTGTGTTTCAACTGTTTATGAGTTTCATTTTTCTTCCCTTTTTATTACAGCTCTTTCTTTTACGCCTTCCTGAATCTGCTGATCAGCGCCTTTGTGGTGTTCATCACATTTATTGCCAGCACTATAGTGAGTGTAGGATTTAACATGTGGTGTGATGCAATTACCGAGAAAGGAAGCATGCCAAATAGGTTAGTATTGAAGAATACATTTTCTTCCCTCTTTTTTTTTTTTTTCATACATGCACAATTGAACAGTGGTGTTACAAAGTGTAGTTATTACATGCAAGGTGAGCAAGGTGGAGAAGGCATCTATAATGTGAAAATCCAGATTTTTTTCCATCTGAAACAAAAAAAGCCAATCAAACTTGTTTGTTTGTTTGTTTATTTAGAAGCCCACAAAGAAAAGCGTGTTTCCATGGTGTTTCGTGGTCTCTTTGAGCCATGATCATGCAAAAGAAATCCATTGTTTTAAAAATGTTTATTTCCAAAGGAGGGAGTGCGATCTTGTGAGCAAGGTGGGGGACTTGGGGTCAGGGCTCCTAGTTCTCTGTCCTGGCTCTGTGTGACAGTGGGCAAGTCACTCATCATGCCTGTGTCACAATGCACCACCTACCAACAAATTTGGGGTAGAGACCCTGGCCTTGAAACGGTGCTGTGGGTGCCCTTAGAGCCACAGAATGGAAAGTACTTTGTAAGTGCAAAGTACAGATGGCTGATGCTTTCTTGCAGTGCACAAAATGTGCAGCTCCTAAAATGGTCTACTGTATCCCACGGTGTTTATGCTCCTTATAGGAAACATGATCAGCTGAGGAAGATTTTTCCCTATCAAATAACAACGAAGAGAGAGGAAAAAGTGACATTTTATGTCATATGATATTGAATAAATGTACTACTTAAAGCATACACTTATGTTGCACATTGTCATATGTTGTAAAATGCCATAGTAAATGTTCTGTTTAGGGCTGCAGCGATTAATCGAATTATTCGAATATTCGGTTAAAAATTCGATTACAAAAAACATCTAATCGAATATTCGGGTAAGAACCCAAGATGACCGACAGCACTGAAAAGGAGAGAGAAGAGGCTGCAGAAATCAACCAAGAGATAGAATGACAACCTCAATATCCTGGGATTTTTTTCACACCAATAAAGATCAAGTTATTTGTAAAATCTGTAGGCAGCCTCTATCTTACCATCAGAGTATCGCCTCCTTGCTGGAGCATCCGAAACAAAAACACAATTCCTTCTTCTGAGGCTTTTCCTGATGAAGTCAAAAGGTAACAGAGGCTCATACACTTTGTTTCATTGAGGGGTGAACCAACCAGCCTGGGGTGATGCCAGAGGCATATCTGTGGGAGGCGAGGTGGTAGTGGGAAAGAGGGGTTGAAGGACACTGTTTTCATGTTAACTATTGCAATTACATTTATGGAAGATTCATGTTATCACTTACATAATTATACTTTTTTTTTTTTTAAGAAAGTAATTACATGCCTTTTTCTGCATAGTTTTAAAGAAGATTGGAAAGCAACCTGGTAATTGCAGTAACTTAAATATCTTTTGATAAAACATGACATTATGACTGTTCAAAATACATTTAGGTTGTTGCTTCGTTTTATATTTAGTTTACCTGCAATCTCTGAAATAATATTCTTCTTTTTTCCTTCCAAATGCCTTTCTGGGTAGCTGTGAAGAATTGCAGGATATAGATCTTGAACTGAACTTGGAAAACTCTGCTTTCTATGACCAGTTTGCTATTGCACAGGTAGGTCAGATTAGGCCATGATTCTATTTCAGTTCATTTGCCATTTGCTTATTGATCTGGTATTGCTGGAGCTGAACTACCATTCCTCAGAAATCAATGGGAATTTGAAGTCAGTTTCCACTGACTTTAGTAAGTGCTGAATCAGGATGATAGTGATGGGCACATTTGCACTGTAAATTCAAAACAGATAGTTTTGAATGCAGACTTGTCAAAACCTCACCCTACCACTAATCTTGTGGTCATGATGGAAAATTCATTGTTTATCCAAATAATAAGGTCTGCAAAAGTTGCAACACTTTGGTGTCCTGGAGCTCTTCATTGCTGTTCAGAATAATGTCTGACCTGCACCAGATCATGAGCCTACTAGTCTTGCCTTCCATGAATTTGTCTAACATCACCAGACCTATGTAAATATCAGACCATTGAAAATAATGAAAGATTAATGTAATGTAAATAGGTCTGTTTTGTGATGAGTCCATGAGAATTAGACCTCTAAGGCTGACAGTCCTTTCTGTTGACTATTCTAGCTCTAGGGCAATGATAAAGTCAGTCAACACTGGGTCCTGAGCACTTGTGCATGGACTAATTCTGCAGGGACAATAGTCCCATCCCTGCAGGCCTGCACCCTTGCACAGGCTTCCTATGTTTTCCCACATGGAACGAGGTATTAGTCTGCCTGGGGCACTCCCTGAAGGTAGCAGTGCCTCTTGGACACAAGCTCATTTTGTGTTTTCACTGCCAGCACGGGAATCTATGTGCCCAGCTTAGGCATATCTGCATTCAGGACAGAAATATGCCATAAATGTGACTCCTTTATATGAAGAACCCAGGACTTCACTGAGTTCAACTTTGCTTGACTCCATGGGTTTTGTCCAGATGAGGTTTTGATATTCATCTGGAGAACTGACTTTATTTTTAGAATACAGTACTGACCTCTTTATGATTTCTTTTCTTCTCTAGTTTGGTCTCTGGGCTGCCTGGCTGACTTGGCTGGCAATTACCATTCTGGCTTTCCTGAAGGTTTATCACAACTACAGACAGGAGGACCTGCTAGATAGCCTGATCCATGAGAAGGAGCTGTTGCTAGGAAGATCCTCTTCACGATCCTCTTTGCAAGATGAGAAAAGTGGCATGATCTAAAGTGTAAGCAGATTTCTAGGGCAGGATCTAGATTTTATTATTCAGTAGGGTAAGCTGAAGCTGAGTCAGGGTATTGAGTGTGTGAGATCTTTTCTTTCCTGAGAAGAGATGTACTTGTGAATCACCCACTTCCTCCATGAGAATTTTTTGGTAGAAGTACTTATATTAGGATAAAGAGAATGAACTGCCCTGTGTGCCTTTGGCACAGCAAACTTTCTGCCCCGTGCAGGCACAATCTGTAACCTGCTCTTGCTAGCAGAGCTCCTATGTGTCATTACTGGCTTTTGGGACATGGGCCATTTTTGAGGACTGAGCTGGCAAGACCAGGCTACAGCGTTCAGGTCATTTCTTCAAACCGCTCTTCAACAACAGTTGTAACTAGAGCTGTGTTCAGTCTCTCTTCTCTCCATCTCCTCCCTTTTGCCAGTAAAGCTGCCCCTGTTCTCTCTTTATTCTGGTAATTGCAGCTCTAGTCTGGGTACAGACTCTTGCTGTCTCTGCTTTTGCTGTGTATGGATGCAGTGCTGACAAACATGATGCTCCTGCTCTGATTTTGTTTAGAACATAGAGACCTGTGTTCCAGACTTGATATTTAATACTGGACAGTGTTAAGGAATTCCATGAAACTGCGATATTATTACAGTGTCTGTCAAAAACCTGTGTTTAATTTGGAGGGATGGCGTAGAACTTTTGTGGTTTTGTTTCTTCTTAGATTTTGGCATGACCAGCATTTATTATGACTCTTGAAGTGAAGTGTGGCTAGCAATTGCTGAAGCTTGCATACTAAGAAATTAGGCTAAAGAGATAGTATCAATGCTTGTGCTTTTATAAGTGTAACTTGGTTCCTAACACTGTATACTATTCTTCTTTGAATATTAGAATTTATTTGTGATATTTATTTCATAAAGAGTATGCAAAATTACTGTAAGCATCTGCATTGTAGTTATCTCTATATATCTATAAACATAGCAAGAAGTTCAAACAACTAGTTTTTTTATGGGTAGTTCAGTGCTGAATGAGTCCATTCTCCCCACTTACGGGCAGGAGTTCCAGGGCAGATGAATTTTCCTGTGAAATGAAAAAAGAATTGTTATTTGCACAAAGCTCACTAGTCACTGTGTTGTTGCTTTCAGTTTTGATTGGCCAGTGCTTCAACAAATAAGGTGGATGGTTGGGACGAGAAGTAGATCCAGGAATTAAGAAGAGTCACTCAGAGGAGTGTGGGATTTGCATGGCAGAGAAGTAAAGTTGTCCAGAACTAAGCATTCATTCAAATCAGCAGAAAACTTAACCAAACAGTTAAGTCTGGACTGAAGAAGATTTTTTTGGGAGTACATTGACACTGCCTGTGGCATCTGTGTTTGAGCTGAGACTGAATTTATTGCAAAGTTGTAGGACAGTTGCACAATTATAGGACCTGGTAAATTGGAAAGAGGGGAGAGAAGACAGGCTTCTGCCACATCAGAGCTCAAGCCAGGGGTTAGCACAACCATGCAGATTTACTGTTGTCTTCTGGGGACTCTGATGCTTAGTTAAGTACCATCTTAAGCATTTGATTGAAACAGAATTTGATGTCAAAACAAATCCCTGAATTAGTAAGCATTTTAGGGCATAAAATCTGACATTGTATTTAACCATCAAAATGTTCTCATAGGTTTAGAAAAAAAACCCTCCAGGGGCTCTAAGCAGTGAGCCAGCCCTGTGAACATCCTTTATAGCCCCAGCTGGCCACAGCTCTCTGTAGAGAGGTCTTGTTTTTCAGCATGATTTCCACCCACAAGGGAATGCAGTTCCTTTGAAAGCTTTACAGCAGTGGCTTTTTTGTAGCTGTGAATTGACATCAGAGGAGGAGTTCATGAAGAGGGAATCGGAGATCAGGTTAGTGAATATCAATTTAAAATTCAGGCATCAGGATTGTTGGAGTGCCTTTTTAGTAATTTGGTCTAATAGACTGGATATTAGGAAAGAATGTCTTCACTGAAAGGGTTGTCAAGAGTTGGAACAGGCTGTACAGGAAAGTGGATGAGTCACCATCCCTGGAGGTATTTAAAAGACATGTAGATTTGGTACTTAGTGATGGCTTCTTCGTGGCCTTGGCAGTGCTGGATTAGTGGTTGAATTGGATGACTTTAGAGGTCTTTTCCAGCCTAAGCAATTCTATGATTCTAACAAGGGATACACTCTTGCAAGTAACTAAGCCTGTTGTCAGGGGATGACCTTCCTCTTCATACCCTAAAGGGGAGCTTGGGTCCTGAAAGTTAGCCTGTTTGCTATGTTCCCCCAGTTGTTTCTCCAACTAGAGAGTCTCACTTTGATTCAGCAGTGGTGTCTCTTCCCACAAATTACTTCTGTGCATGCCTTAATCTTCATGTGGAACCATGCTGCTGCTTTGTATTGTGTATTTTATGTACGTGCCAAACCAGGCTTAGGCTGAAGTAACGTGGGTTGAGACCACTGCTCATGGTCTTGTCTGAGGTTTTTAAGAACCAGGAGGCAGAAGACAGAGTCTCCTCATCATCCTTGCTCTGAGGTAGCAGGACTCAAGCCTTGTCTCTGGTTCTGAAGCAGAAGATGTTGCTTGTAAGTGAGGTTGTCTGAAGCTCATGCTCTCTTCTGTCTCTCCTGTCTGAAAGCCTTTTACCTCCTTTCCAATTCTATGAGAAGCACCTAACACTGGTCCTGGGGTTAGAGTTGCCATGCAAACTGAAAAAAGGCTGAGGCTGTTCTTTGAGTCCCATATGAATCTCAGCCTGTTTTCCCCAGCTTTCTTCACTTGACCAGGTGAGGTGAGGCTGGCAGCCAGTTTTCAAGAATCAGTGATGCTTAAAAGCAAAGCTATTTTTGATGGAAGCCCCTGCCTCAGTCAGAAGGCAGAACATGTAGTGAGAAACTTTCTGGCTGACTCAAGGGGAGAAAGAGTATCCTGCAACTCCCAGTTATTAAAGCCCACTTGGGCTTTTCTGTTTGTACTTGCTTTTCTGCAACCTCTTCTCCTAAAGCTTGGACACTCAGGCCAACCTGGTGATGCCAGGCTGAAAACGAGTTAGAGTTGTGGCATAATTTATACACACATACCTACATACCTATGCTCTTGCTCACACCCTTCTCTCTGTTGTACATTTCTGACCTCTGCTTTTAGTGATCCATTGCCAACCTGCAGAGTGTGTGGCTGCAGTAGGAGTTTCGCTGAGTTGAATGTTGCATTTCTGTGATATTTCAATACCTTTAATTTGCCATCTCCAAAAGCAGGCCTCTGGGAACACTCTAGCAAGAGTCGTATTCAAGGAACTAGAACCCTGTGTGGTACTTCACCTTGCATTTATTTATTGTCACATGGTGGAAGGGAAAAAGCTTTGTGGCCTTTGCCTGTGCGGCCCCTCCTGCTGCTGTCCTTTCCAAAGCTGTGAACTGTTCTAGTGGAGAACGTGCAGTGCAGCTGTTTAGTCAAAAGGTCTTAATTTTGGCCTGTAAAAATTGCTAGTAACCCAGGGAGAGCCTCACGTACTTGAATACAGCTGGATGCTCCTTTCCAAGGCACCAGGGTGTTGCCACACAATTATTCTGTTGTATCAAATATATTCCCTGGCCACCATCTGTGGTTAATTTCCCTACCAATTCCCTGCCAGTAGTCCACATTGGGCTAGAAAAATCTATGCTAACAAGTGTCATCTGAGCTTTTAGATCAAAGCTGTTTATTACTATTTTTATAATAGAGTAGCAACTGAAGCCATTTTTTGGAACAGAATTTCCTCATCAGGGCATGAACGCTCATAACATCTTACCCCAGTAATTCATGAGGCATCTTTCAGCTGGGAACTCTCAATAAGAATCACAAAAATAAGAGCATGATGATTTACTGTAAAAACTTAAAGACATGCTGTGGCAGCGATTCTATGGTCCCTTAAAAAGGTTCTTCTCTTAACAGGCAGCTTGGGCTAGAGTAGTTGTTAGGATTCCTTAACTTTCTCCACTTCATTTTACTTACTTAGTACTGGGACTTGTGCAATAATACATAGGGTATGATACCTAGAAGTGGATGCGATGTGACCGGAATAGGAAAGCTCTGGTAAGTGCACAACCTCCAAAGGGCTGAAATGGGATTCTAATGAGGATTTGCAGGTGTTTTAACTCCTCCCCTGTGTCTGGGTAATGTCCTGATATTAGCCTGGATTGCCTGTTGGTCCAACCTCAGTTGTCAGCAGCTCACACAGCTTAGTCCTTAGGCTGATGGTTGGAAACCATCTCTCAAAAATGGGGGATGTGTGCAGGAGTCTCTTCAGGCCAATCTGGGTGCAGAACATGGGGTCACCTTGCTTGGGGAAGTGTGAGCCACAGGCCATTGTGTGGGCTTTATTTGGGAAATGGGATTTCTGCACAACCTCAGCACTGATCTATGATGGGTCTCAGAAAATGCAGTATCAAATGAGTAAATTTAAAATGGATTTTTTTTTTTTTTATGGATTTGTCAGTTGCAAAATACACACAAACTTGGCATTGGGTGAATGTGACTTTTCTAATTTCCATTCTCCAAGGCCCTCCCGAACATATTGCGTGTAAAATCGCTTTTACCATTTAAATTACAACTCTAAGGAAAATCTAGATAGTAATTTATACTGGTAACACTTACAGTAACTTATGACAAACTAATTCAGATTCTGAGAAAACTTTTGTCTTTTATTCTATATCAATGGCCTGGGTGTGAATATCCTTGAGCTAATGAGAATCCTGTCTGTGTCTAGATCCTAAATTTGTGCCTCAAACCATTTCCTTTGCTCATGGAAATAGTCCATTTTTATCTCCTTGGAATGTTTGCTTTGGAGACCACAAATGTGCTTTCCTTCTGCTTCATCAATCTGGGAAGAGAGGAAGGTTTTACCTGCAGTGACAAAATGCTCATATAGCTTCAAAAGCACAGAAATTATTTTAGAACTATTTCTGTTCATGGTACTAATGCCTTGAAGTGCATGTTTTTATTTTTGTCCTCCATAAGAAAGAGGAAAACTATCCTGAGTTGTATTTAGGATGAGATACACACTTAGATATTTTTTTTTTTAATGTTTTGGGTTTGGTTTTTTTTTTTTTTTGAAACGACAAAATTCCACTCAGTAATTTATGAAGATAACAACTGCACAGAAGACAGAACTTTGATGCTCTCCTGACCTAGAAGGGAGCTGCAATCTCTCAGAAAACTTAACATTTGTTTCTGAGAGGTTAGTATAGAATTTACTTAATACATTGCAAGTACGGCTTATTTCAGTGCAGGCACATAATGGATACTGTCTTTCCTTTCTGTTGTTGGGAAGAGTATTTTACATAGCAATGTTTTCTTTTTAGTTTCTTTTGTCCGTGCCAAAGAGTGTAACTGAACTGCTATTGCAAACATAGATTAATGCGAATGTATTCACCTGAGCGCTTAAACTTCTCTACCTCTCATTGCTACTGTAACTGCTTGAACTGTTATTGCACACTACAGTGAAAAGAACTGAATCCATGTGAGACTTTAAATCCTATTTCCATAGATAGCTGAAGGATTTAGGATTTAATGCTTATTAGCTTCCTGTCAGATCCTCATTCCTAAAAAATGGGCACAGGCACCCAAGAGAGGCTGTGTGAATAGCCCTTGGCACTGGTCAAATAAAGATTTTATTTTGGTTTGGGAGTTTTTAATTTATTTTTTTTCTCACCAAAATAAAAAGCCATCAACTGTGATTTGTTAGACATGAAAGGTTATCCTGGATCCCTCTCAAATCCTCCTGTTGGAGCTCTTCTACTTGGCTCGAAATTCCTAAACAACAATGTTTTAGCCTTGTGGTTCTGGTGCTTATCAAGGAGATAAGGTACTTGGCAGCAAGAGCTGCTCACTGAAATAGCTTGAATTGTTTGTATATGGTGGAAACCCAACGTGAGAAGTTTTTGTTCCCCCTTTCCACTTGACTGTTGTAAAGGGAGGGTTGGGACAACCTTCCAGGAGGTGAGAATGATGACCCATAATTACTGCTGACATCTTGGGTGATTTCTCAGGCAAGTGAGTAAACAGTCCTGTGACATAAGTACTCTTCATCTCCTCCTTATCTTCCCCTTGTTTCCCCCAGATTTGAGCAAGTTTGACTCCAGTCTGTATACAGGTTCTGAAGGGTATTTATGAATGTGAGAAAAATTGCAGTCTCTGTGGCGAACTTTTGTCCAAAAATAAGAAAAACAGTCACAGATTTTCCCTGGTTTTATTCAGGCTCTCTGGGGAGTGACATTAAACACTTCCCTTTATATAAACCAGTCCTGATTTGGGACTGGGTTATTCTGGGTGGTCTCCAAGGTTGGTGCCAGCAGTCTCTCAAGGAACCTGGTGGAGTGAGATGAGTACTATGTTAAACTGTAGATTTTAAGTCAAGGAAATGTTTGAAAACTGTCTGTCATGGTATCTCACATAACACAGTCCAGAACTCTTCACACTATACCTCTTGCAGCAGAGGGAATTATTTTTCCATGTTAACACTGTGAAGTGCAATAATTTGTGTCTGAAATACAGCACATCTTCCTGCAACACATTGGATTTAGATTGCATCAGTTAGCTGCTTTCTGAGTTGTTGCAGCAGTTTTAACCATCATTTTTAAAACAGTGTCCAGCATTTGACTTCACAAGGTTCTGGCAGTCTTCTTACTAAACCATCTTCTTATTAAACAGTCTTTTAGAGTAGTGAGTAGTCCCTTTGCTAAATGATGCTGAGAAGCTCTGTACAGAATCCTTCCATGGGAAGGACAAATGCATTGGAGCCCACAGCTGGTGCAGACTGGTGGTATCAGAACAATTCTGGTCAAATATTCTCTGATTAAAACAGCCCAAGCTACACAACTGAGAAATCAATATATTGTGATCTGAAGTACACTCCTGAGAGGTTTTTGAAGGTTATAAACAATCATAACAAAACAACAACAAAAAAGCCCAGCAGTTCCACTGACATCTCCTCCCCCTGGATTCTTTAATATTCAAAAACATTCCTGCAAACTGCACAGAGGGTTTTTTGCTATCAAGCTGATTTGTCCTTATTTCTCACATCTCTTCCTACTAGGGACAAGGACAACTGAGGCATGCAGGACAGTAGCATCAATCCAAACAGCAGTAGGCAGTGAGGAGAACCACTGGTGCGTTTCCTGTGAGGGGTTTTGGCTTTCAGGCTGTGACATGAGGGATCTGAGTGGCAGTGCCTGTGCTGGCAGCACTGACACCCGTTTCAGCCTTTGCTTGGCCTGCTCAGCCCCCACCTGCTCGTGTGGCTTCACAAACTGCAGAGCATCATCCCCTTGAGGCATGTGCTAACCTACAGTTAGCTTCTGGAGAGAGCCACCTCATTTGGAGGGGCTTTTTTGGAAAGCTCCTCTTTCCACGTGGGCAGATTTAGACACGCTACAATTGGCCCTTTGCCTTATGTAGCTCGTGACTTGTGTGGGGAAGGAAACACTGTTCCCAAATCTCTGTAGACTTTCTATTTTTGAAAATAGCTCATTAACACCCATAGTTTTAAAAGGTTCAGGGTTTTTGTGTGGTACCACCTGCAAAGATCTGAAACATTTTTCCTGCTTATGAGTCAGCAGAGCCTGAAAGCATTTCAGCCTCTCTGAAATGTACTGTCTCATCTTTTAGCCATGTGGGAAAAAGCCTTCTAAGAGTCTAGATTAGCTATTTTGTTATGCTGCTAAAGAGGTCCCTGAATAATGGGCATTTGGGGAGAAAACTGAACGCTTTTTCATAATTTGTTTAACCACTGAAAGCAGCAGAGGGGCAGATCCCTTGATGGTGTATATAGATTAGCCTGTGAGCAGCTGTGCCAGTCCACACAAACTGAGGGTAGAGCCTTGCCTGTTTTGAATATTATCTCTCTTGATTTGTATGGTCTTTTGCAGCATAATGACTGCTGATTTGGAGCTTTGATTGCATGTATTTGATAAATCCACGAAGGGAGTGAGGTTTATTATTATTATTGTTTTGATACAGCTTCAAAAGGGAAATTTTTACCAGCATTTTAATACAGCCCTTTGTAGACACTTAGCTGAGTCCAGTCCTTCTGCTAGTGGAGTCACTGACAGTTTCCTTTGGCTTTAGTAGGAGCTGGACTGGGTTCAGTGTAAGTGACACTCTAGCATTACCGATAATGAGATGATTTGTTTTATATATTGACGCTTTTTGCTGGACAGTGCATTGGCTTTTTATGATTTGGTGATATATAAAAATAAATTATTTGAAAATTCAATATTTCTGTTCATGTTCTTTGAAGGTGAATTTAAGTTGCTACAATGTGAGATAAAAAATTGTTCTCAAAGTCAGTGGCAGCATCTTAGTTCATGTACTCATGCCCCAGCATCTCCGTGCCATGGCTTGTATAGTCAAGGATATGCCCAACCATCCTAAGCTGCCTGAGCCCTTTTGGTGCTGTGTTCCAGCAGTGAACCCTAATGCCAGAGGAAGCAAGGAGAAGATAGTCCTGTGTCAGCATGCAGCTGAAAGGCAGATTGTTAGCAAATGTAAAGGGGGACCACAGGCTGCACGAGCAGGCTAATTTTCTAAATGGCAGATGTTTAATTTTTTTCATGTAGCATCAGTCTTTCTCTTCAGAGGTGGGCCTAAAAGTTCCCAATAGCTATCCTGGAGCAAGGAATTAATAAACAAAAAAATAAACAAGTCCACACTATTATCTTAGAGGCTCCTGAGCTATTGCTTGAGGGCAGCTGGTAACACCCTTTTTATAGTCACAAGCTGCCAGCCCTTCTTCTTGCTTCCAAGTGGCAAAAGGCAGAAATGACAATTACAATTGCTGCTATGGGCTTCTCCTGCTCCATTAACTTGTTTTCAGACTATCAGGATTGGACAGATGAAGGGAGGGAGAGAAGCAGTCTTTGGGGCTACCTTTTACCAGCACTAATGCTGAGTGCATCAAAAGGTTAATGTAAAAACATCTCGTGTCATCTCACCATGTCCTTTTCTATCTCCTCTAATCGTATGGGTATGGATACGCCTGCCAGTTCAATCAGGTGCTGTTGATGTGGTGGCCCTGCCTGAAGAGGGTGTTGGCAGCTGCCCTCCATCCATTCACACTGCTGGAATGTACTGAACACTGTCAAAACAACACCTACCCTTCTGCTGTCCTCTGCTGATTTCTGTTGTGCATTAATTACATACTCACTGCTTAAGGGATATTAGGCAGCACTTCTACCCTTAGGCCCTGCCATTAGTCCACTGTCATTCACAGACTTCCTTGTACTCTCCTCTGGCCCTTTGACTCCTGCCACCCCAGACATTGCTCCCGGGAAGCCCACACCTACCCACTGTCTGCTTCAAAAATTGCTGCAAGAGTCCTGTCCTACATCACTTCCTCTTTTAGGCCTTTATGTCTAAAACATGGTCATTTCCAAGCTGGATTAAAAAATTGCTCAGAGGTGGTTAGCTGCAGGATTCTTGACTTCTAAGGCAATTCACCAAGCTGGCACCAGTGTGAATTCAGGTGAGCATCTCCACCTCTTACAATAAATTTTGTATCCCCTCTCCTTTTTATCTCTTTTGGAAAATTCTCAGGAGCTGTACTGAAGGGAAATATTACCCAGCATAGCCAGCAAGGGGATTATTACCCAACACAGCTGATTTTCTGTAACTTTAGGTCTCCAAACTCACAAAGGTATCACACAGAAAAACACCACTGAACACAGAGAAATCACATCTAGCTCACAGCAGTGAGGATAAAGACGTGATGAATAAAAAACAGAATGAAGGGGCAGAGAGGGAAAAGAGTGTGTGTGTGTGTGTGTGTGTGTTTAAGTAGAATGGGTGAATAGGAAAAGAGCTTCAGTGTGAGAAGGAAATTAAACAGATAAGTCCACAGTGAAGTTGTGCAGCAGTAAACAAATGCAAGCCCAGCAACTGGAATTTTTCCTCCTATTCCCAGTTTTGTGATTGATCGGCTTCGTTCACTCCCACGGATGCATATAGGCTTTCTTAGCTTCAGATTTTTCACCTGTGAAATGCCATCACTCTCCCTGGAATGGAATTTAGCTTTTATTTACTTCAAATTTTCTGGCTTTGAGGCAAATTTAATTTGGCCTTTGGCTGCCTTCCACATACCTGAGTGACCACAGTAAACAATCCTGACCTGGGAGACCTTGTAAAGCTGTGGTGAGACCTCAACAGATAATTCAAGTGCTGCTTTTGCCCATGCCCAAAACCATCTCAACCCGAGCCAACACAAAAGCCAAGAATAGCCATTCCTCTGCTTAATGTCCCTGACAGCTCAGATGTGATATCTATTCTCACTCACACTGATAAAATTGGGCCCCAGCAAGAAGAACATGGACATTTTCCATTTAAAGCAGACCCAGTGGAAAGGTGGTCCTATGTCCATCTCCTGGGGAGCTGTGCAGGAAGGTGGGCACAGATATGATCTTCACACCACCTCCACACTTCTCCTCACAGTTCTAAGAGTTCCTGTTTTACCTTAAATATCAGCTTTTTAAAGTTACTGAAACCAGATTGCTAACATACTGGAAGGGTTCACTCTACTGCTCTTGCACTTGAGAACACTCTTGTCACCTCAACCTTTGCATTTTTGCTGCAATGTGCACTTGGAGTGAGGGAACTGTCCCTTCAGACAGGCTCCCGTTTGGAAGGGCCTCATTGCTGCATGCTGGGAGGACGTGTCAGTCCAGAGCCAAAAAGGAACACCACTGGTTTGCCAAAGAGTCTCAACATGAACGTGAAAAAGATCCTAAACATTAAAAGATGCAAGCAGAAGTTGCAATGACCCCCTCGCCCTGTGCAGGTACCAGTCTAAACCTTTTCATCAGAGATTCACCAGCACACAAGTTTAAAACCTTTCTTTTTTATTACCTAAACAGCAGGGCTGAGACAGTGGAGAGGGGAGGGAAACAGTGGTGGGACTTACCCTCTGAGCTGGGGTACCTGAGTGGTTTGCACACAGAGCCCCTGAGCCAAATACTCCTCCTGCAGCAACCTCTGCTTCCCAGACTGTGGCTTTGATAGCTTAGGAGGAGCATGAGAACAGCCACTGAAGTCACTTCCTTCTCTCTTGGGCTGCAATTTTTTTGACTTGTTCTCAATTAAGTTGCTGCCTACTCTTCTCTTGAGAGCAGACTGCATATTGTGTTTCTGTTTATCCTCTCCCAGTGAAAGTCCTTGGGCTGCTTGGAAGAAGGTTGCTGGGGCAGAGGTAAGGCCCTCTTAAAAAATTCTGTTAAAAATAAAGCACCATTTTTTTTTCTTTTTGGAGGTTGTCATGGCAGGGAATTCCAGCCAAGGTCTTGCAGGCATTACTTAATCTTCTCTGCAGTGTTTCCTTTCCCCCTTTTTTTCCTGATTCCTTTTCTTCAGCTCTTACAGGTTCTGTGTCATATTTACCATCCTAAATAACTCCAAGCCCATATCAGGTACTACTTGTGAAGAATCTAAGGCCTAAAAGCTGTTTGTGCTGGTTCTTTGAAGCTCACAAGCTTGCACTCATTTGCTCTCATCTCAGATACCCAGAGCACCATTTCACGTGATCTCCATTAAAAGGATTCCCTTCAGAGACCTGCGTAGTATGGGAGGCAGTGGAGGGATAAAGGGACTTGGCCTCCCACTCCTTCATAACCAGTCCATATTGCCATGATATAAGGCCCTGAATACCGAGGCATGAAAAGCTTCACCTCTGGCTGAATACAAGCATTATCATAAATCCTGTAAGTCAGCTTGTGGAGTTTATGGACTGAATCAAACACAGAGGATTAAACTACCGATCTGATGATTAGCCTGAGTTTCAATGCTGTTATTTTTTATGTTAGGCAAATAAACTATTTTCTGTTTAAATGAGGTTTTGTGTTGTTTTTCACTCCTGGGAGTTGAGTGAATCAGTGAGAAACAGCTTTTGCCTATGGAGAAAAAAAAATGCATGAAGGGAAATGAGAAAGCCATTTGCTGGGATTTTACTAATAAACATTTCAGGTGTATAAATATAGCAGCTTGTCAAGCCTTTGGCCACCAGAGAAGTGTTGGTGTAATAGCTCTGCTTTATTTTAAGTCTCTTAGGAGACTTAAGGAGAAAGGTGGTTTGATATCTAAAGTGTTGACCTGAGACTCAGAAGACTTTTCTTCAGAGCCTACTGCTACCTGCACAGCTCAATCTGTTTCTCTCTCTACTTTTGCTCCTCATATCAGCAGTTCATAAACTCTGGGGGACAAAACTGAGATACTTGTTTGCTGTTCAGGGTGACGGAGCATGAGTTTGGTGAGAACTCAAGGCACTAGTATGACTGTTCATTGATGTGGAAAAAACAAAGAAGAAAAAATGAGAAGTGGCTGCTGGATGATGCACAACATGGTTGATTTTCTTGCTCTTGGAGGTGGATGATCATGTGTTCCTTGCATGTGGCTGGAGTAAACTAGGAGCTTTGCACTGACTCATGCTGCTTAGCAGTGTCAGGCTGGAGGACACTGCTACTGCCTCACAAACCAAGTCCAACATCTCTGAGCAACGTGTCTTATATGAAGAAAGAAGATAACAAGCCGGGATTGAAATTCCTCCAGGACTTTGACATCTTGCTTCATGCTGGTGTAGTAGAGACTCACAGCAAGGATCAGCACTGCACAAAATGAGATCCACAGGAGCACAGGCAATCCAGATGATGACCTGTCATCTACTGAATGGTGATGAGGAGAAAAAAAAAAAAGGAAAGCAAGATTATTTTAGTGACATCTTAAACACTTCCCAAATTTGATCCCCTGCTGATGTATTTGTACCAGTTTTCTGGGAACAGCAGGGTACACAGGGCTCTGGTTGTGAGTACTTCTATACACATCAGTTAAGCAATAGTGAGTCACATCTCCTGATGGAGGGTAGTGAGTATAAAATATGTCATCTAATGGGGCATTTAAAGGGTTTAATTACACACGACAGGAACAGGATTACCATAGTTAATGTGTGATCTCAAGTTCCCCTCCAGCAATTATTTTTTATACTTTTACGCTAAGTGTTAAGTTGAATACTAGGAGAATAAGAAGCTACTTCATCCAATATTTAATGCTCACAAATGCTCCATAAAAGAGACAAGATATAGATTTCCATCCTTTTCCCTAGTAACTCAGCTTGTTTGGGACTCCTGCTAATTATGGTAAGAACTGAAACGTGGCTCCATTAACCAAGGGGTTAGAAAATGTTTAGAAAGCTCTGGCAGTTTTAACCACTGTCTAAGTGCTACGTGTGCTAATTACACTGGAACATCCTCTGCACTTGCTCTAAGGCAGGAACATCCTGTAAACATTTTTCTTTCCTTCAAAATACAGTTCAAGTATGTTTAAAGCACCCTGGGTCAGGCACAGCACACATATGGAAATCAGAGGGCTTCATTTAGCTTGCTGACATCTGTGCCCCAATCCTTGCACGTGTTTATCCACCCGTGTGCCTCGGGGATCCAGTTTGATTCAGATCTGGCTGCTCTGTTTGACTTCATGGCCATTGCACAGTCTGTACTATTTTATAAAGCACTTAAAGTATTAAACACGCAGTATAAAGCCAAATTCATGCCTGAATAAAACCCATAGTGTGCAGCTATTTTCCTGCCATATGCACATAATCAATAAGGAGATAAAAATGTGGAGTGTATTATTATGGGTAAAGGGCCAACATTAGCTGTAACATATTTAAATTAGCTTCTACTCCGAGCCCTGGAATACACACCAGTCAATTAAACTGTCATACAGATGTACAGAGAGGAAGGTAAAAGTCATAAAACCAAGCAGGAAACACATAATAATGTATCAAAAAGTGCATGGGGAAAAGGTAAAATGTTAATAGGCAGTCATTTTACAGCTAACCAGAAACCAAATCAATGTCCCATAATAGGTCTGAGTGAATTATTTGCAGCAAATAATTTATTCATTTGAATTTAGCCCTTCTTTCTGTTTGCAAATTATCCATGAGCAGGCTTCAGTTTTTATAAATTTGTTTATTTGGCATTATTCTATGAATGGTTGATATGAAGGTGTTTAGCCAGGGAATTGCTCACCACTTTCTGCATTTGCAGAGATTTGTGAGTTGGAAGTTGGTATTTCCCTTGTGTGATTTCTCACACCACAGGCTACAGTTCTCAACTGGGTGCACACCTGCCTTTCACAGTGAAGGACTTGGCTGATGAGCACACATGGGAGCAGTGAAACCTTTCTGTGAAAGCTGAACAGCTTTTCACATCAGCCCTTTTCTATGAATTTCTTATAACCTTTTTCAACCTTGCAAAAGTTATTTCTGGGTTATCTCAAATGCAAACTTGAGTCTTCCAATCTGCAAAATTAGGAAGTATATTCAGTCCATGAACAGGAAAAAAAAAATGTGCAAAAATAATTCCACTCACAGAATAGAGATAAGCTACGGTCACAATGGCTTCAGCACATCACTACAGTTATGTGCTGAAATTTAAGTTTGTTTTTCTAGATTACAAGTAGAAATTTAATGCTTAAATTTGTTAGTTAAATTGCTTGCTGGAAGAGTGCACACAGCCACAGGTGTGTGCCCAGTCTCATGGCAACTCATCTGAGAAAACCACTGGACCCAGACACAGGTGGTTTTGTTTCAGTTCCTGCCTTGGACACACAGTTCCACTGTCCCCTGAAGAATATTTGATCATTGCTTTTCCACCTATTTCCTTCCTGCCTACAGTACCTTGTTTCTAGCCCAGTCACTGCCTTAGCTGATGCTTCCATTGTCACGAGCACAAAAACCCTTTTCCTGGACAACAGCAATAGTTAGGGGATATGGGGATACCTGACTGGGAGGCTTTTTAGCCTCCCAACACTACAGGTCTGTGTGTGTTTATATACAGGTATATATATGTACCCCTGTCCTCTCACGGCATTTCATATAGCAGGGACTGGATTTTGGCCAGGGCCTCAAGAATAATGATCACCATCATAAGAACATCCAGATACAGACATTTGCTTCAGGGTCTGTAAGGCTGCCTGGCCTCAAACAAAATAAAACAAAACAAAAACAAACAAACAAAAAACCAAAACAAACAAAAAAAGAAGAAAACCCACATTATTTTTATTATTTCTACCCTGCTGCCAGCATATAAGTGAATTGTCTCTTCCCCACACACAAAACTCAGCAGGGAGAACTATTGTTTCGCTTGGGGTGCTTTCCTTGCATATCTTAGTGAAAAACCTGTACCTACTCTATTGCCATAAAATATATTAATTATATTTAAATTAAAAATCGCTTCAGGGATTCCATTTTTGTTTCCACTATTTGTCTTACTAGATGTCTTGTTTAAAATTGCACCAGACCTCATCAGCACCTTGTGGTGCTTATGCTGAGAAGAAACAGCAACAACCCCTGACAGCACGAAATGCTGTTGTAGACGGAGGGTGTATTTGCACAGTGCAACCCAGCAGCCACAAAAGCAAACTCAGGTTAATGCTATGGATGGCTCACAGTTATAATGTGAAAATTCAACTTACCCACCACGTAGTCACAGCAGGAAATGGCTGGAAAACAGAATGAAAATGTTCTTACACACCTGGAAAGGTCTCTTGGCAGCAGGTGAACATAAAAGCAAGCACCAAGTGGTGTCTCTGAAATTGCCTGTCACTTCATAGATGCTGAGCCACCTCTTACAACACTTTTGGCTCTGGATGAGGATCTATGCACTCCATGCAAACATGCAGATGCAGGTGCACTTCAGGAAAGTGAGGAAAAATTATTGTGTGGAAGAGTTCAGAGGCAGAGTTTGCTGCTGTTGCAGGGTGGTCAGTAACCAGCTCCTTCAAAGAAAACCTGCCTATTCCAAATAATTTTTAGAAAGGAAAGGAGATAGATCAGCAGGCTGAGAGAAGAATCAAAGTTCAGAAAGCAAGGCCCACTGTCAGATTAACTCTCATCCAGCAATATCCTGGAAATCCCTCTGCTTGGCAGTCAGGGCTCAGACATAATTCAGGATGAAAAGTCCATAGAATGGAAAAAATGGAAGAATTTCAGTAGTGCCAGAAACTTTCATCTTACCAGCCTTAATGTTAATAATACTGTGTGGACAAACAGTAAATAATCTAAATCACAGAATACTAATTATGGGTTGGAATGTTTCTCATGTCTTCATGGAAAAGAGTCAGAGTCTTTTCCATCCTTGCAGCTCGCTGGAGTTCCAGCAGGGCTGTGTTGAAATCAGAGCCAGTGAGAGACCAGCTTGGTCCCCCTGGGCTGGACTGACTGCAGGATTACCAGCACTGATGTTGGGCAGCGACCCTGTCAGAGAGCTGAGGGAGTTATTAACTCCCATGAAAATCCTCTTGAGCAGTCAGATGAGCTTGGGCAAATTTAGGGCTGACTCACTGAGTGTTTCCAGGAGTTCAGTTTTGATGGGAAAGCCCAGGCCATGGCAACAACCTTATCAAGAAACAGCTTTCCCCTCCTGCGTCAGGAGGCATCCCAAACAATGCGTTGCCAAACAAATGAGAGTTCTGTTTACAGACACATCAGCAGATGCCGAGCCTTGTTTTCAGAAGCTGTAGCAGTCTAAACAGGTGGCTGGAATATAAATGTTACCATTCTGTCGCCTGTGTTTTTACTGACTGATGTATCAAACCCATACAATTTCAGTTCTCGACCAATAAATACAATTTTCTTACTTGAGTCAAATTGAGGAAAGTCAGAATGCAACAATAGTTCTTATTTGAAGAAGTGCAGAAGTGAAAAAATGCAAATGCAGAAGTGCAAACTGAATCATTTTGCCAGACGTCTGCCTACGGTCACTCCCAGCTGACCTATCTGCAAACTGCTATTTTAGCTCATGACTAAAAAGATCAGAGGTTTTTTTGGCTGTGTCATTCCGTGGGTGCTTTCACTGGCAGAAATTATTACATCCTGGCTGCTAGGCTTAGTTAGACCTCTGCTATTGTATTCTGTGGCATGTACGATGCTCAGAACCATGAAAGGACTGGCTCCCTCTTTCCCATTACATCCTAGGTACCCAGAATGACATAAAAATGTTTACAATTTGTCTGAGATCCTTTTTATGAGCAGATACGTTGTTCTGGGGTAGCCCTGGGCCTCAGCCAAACCCATGGTCTACAATGATCCCTGTGGGGGTTGACTCAGGAGGTCACTGTGAGAACAGCTGAGGGTGATGCAGCAGCCTGTCTCCTCCCAGGGCAGGCAGGCAAATGGCCCAGAGGCAATTCTGCAGTGCGCAGACCAAAAATTGTCCATCCTCTGCTCCATGAGGAGCTGAAAATCACAAATAACATTATCAGAGGAGGAAGCTGATGTGGACAGACAGAGTGGATGTTAAAAGCTGGAAAGGTCATGCCAAAAGGCTTAATAGCTTGAGCATACCATGTTCAGTGACTTCTGGCTCACGAAATCGAACCCTTCTCTCTACTTTCCGCTTTTCCCCCACAGCTTGGTCCACAGGTGGCCTTTTCCTCAGTATCGAAGGAGGATAGCTACTGTCATCTGTCTAAAGAGTTGATCAAAACACAAAACATGGCCATTCAAACTGGGTTAGTGTGCCTGGGTGAAGTTCTGAGCTTTTGTGGCTATGTCGTGGCTATGGGTATGTAACACATCTGCCTGGACATTTATGGTCAGACCACTGCGTTATTTATGGCAAGACAATAGGGGTATTCCTTCACTGTCATAGACATTCAGTACTCTAAAACTGTATTCTCAGGGAAAAGATTAGTTAAAGTAATGGACAGCAAAGTGTTCAGAAAGTATTTCTCTAAATAGCAGTTTACGGTAGCTGAAGGTGGCTGCTCAACAGCCTTGGGGTAGATGGACAAAAATGTGCTATGAAATACATGAACCATATAATTTGGAGAACCCTTGAAATGTTCTGAGCTAAGCAGTTCCATTTGGAATGCAGTGCTGCCATTTCAACAACTGGGACTATGCAGTAGACTTGGGTTTGGACACAATCCTGATGGGTACAAGAATTTGGCAAATTGCACTTTGATATCGCAGTTATGTTGTTGCTCTGGTTTTCTGTTTGGAAGCCACAATTTTTAACAACAGAATCGTAATGCTGTGGATTCTTTGAAATTACAAGAAACAGAACTGCAATGACAGCAAAAAGTCACTCTTCTGCATAGGAATGCTCCCACAGTCAAGTTCCCTAAGTGAATCCAAACTGAATCAACTCCCCAAAGTGAATCTCCACTAGCCTCTGGAAATGGAGAGCAGACAGGAAATTTTCTATTTTTCAAAGACTCAAGTGTGTGGGAGAGATTATCCACATTTCTGTTTAAGATTGAAGTAATCTTCTCTAGCCCTTTCTCCCTATTCCCTCTGTTCTTCTGCTAGTTAAAGGATATTATTTCTGAGATGATTTGTTTGTGCCTTCTGGTCACTGTCCCAGCTCCTTTTTTTTTTTTTTTTCCCTTATGTGTTATTTCCTCATTCAGCGATTGCTTGCTCCTTACCACATGTTCTTCTTCTTGCTTTAATCTTCCTACTCCTCAATTCTCTGCTTGTGTGCTTTTTAAGACTCAAATACCCTTGCTTTACCTTTTCTCTTTGGATGCTTTCCCCAAAGTCACCTTTTCACACATTCATTCCTCGGCCTGCAGAAGCAGGATTAAGTGCCATTAACTACAGTCTGGGGCTGTCAGGCCCCAGAGTAAAGAAGATAAGCACATTTTCTTATGCATCACACCCTGAATAACCTCAGAAAGGCACACAGCATAGCCAGCTGGAACTGCCATGGAATGAGGAACATCTTCAGCTTTGATACCTTCTCCTGAAAGATATATAAACCCAGCCTTATCACTGACAAGGATGCTTGCTCTGATCTTGGGGTCATAACACCTCTGTCTTGTGACCATGGACAGTGTGTGTTGGAACTCTGTATTTTTCATTCAGCAGCTCAGAAGTTGGAAGCCCCATTTAGGGTATGGGAGACCTGGATTCAACGTCTTTCTCAGGAAGTCCAAAGAAATACAAACCCACATCTCTTGTATACAAGCCCTCACCATCAGAGCTATGGTATGCATATAGGAGCAGGGAATCTCAGTCAGTCTCTGCCACTAAAGCCGTCTTGTTTGGCCTTGAATAATTAAATATTCATTGAGCTAAAGAAGGAAAGAGTGACTTTACAGCCTAGTGTTTGTGTGCTCCCTTGGGGGTGGCAGAAGTCTGCTCCTGTCCTTGCTCCAATGAATACTTAATATGTAATACTTAAATATTCATTGGAGCGGTCACTGGGAACAGGGTCTCTCATCTACCAGGTGAGTACCTTAATCACTCTGCTACAGCCACACACACACATACTTACTCACGTAATGAATATTTGATTATTCTGTGTAAAATTAAACAGGTTTAGGGAGACACAGCCCAGCTCAGGTTAGAGGTGGTTATAGCTTTAGCTATGAGGGCTCTTCCTGTGGCACCACCAAGGAAACTGAACCTTGTATTTGAAGAGATTTATAACTCCAAGTGCAGCTTTTCTCCATATGAGCTTTTCCAAACACTGAACAGCGACACCATGGCAGGAGAGAAAAATATTAAACAACTAGCTGGTTGGGTAGCACCTAGCCAAGGAAGACCTTAAAAAGGAAGTAGCTTTATGATATTTACTAGACTTTATTAACTTACGGAAATCAAAGCTACAGAGTGTCGGAAGAAATAATGCATTCTCCCCTCAGACATAAACCTGGCATTAACATATCCTGACAAGAGTTGGAAACCTACCAAAGTGATAGCTGGGAAATTATATGACCTTAAAAACAGCCAATTTGTAAAAAGCTTCAGGAGCTGGACACAAGGACTCTATCGCCCATCAAAGGATTACTTACCGGCTGCTCCTCTGCACTAGGACCAGAAGGTGGGACTGGACATATCTGGGACATGTACTCTGGATGCCAACATGAAGCGTCCCACATGAAGCTCTGGAGGGAAACCCACTTGCTCAAGGAAATGAGAAGGAACAGGGAAAAGCGCCTGGAGATCCCTCCGCAGTGAGGATGGAGCAGGCAGTGCCACCGAGCAGATGGGAGCAGCAACAAATGACAAGAGGATTGGAAAGAAGAGTTTCCGCCCTTCATACCAGTGTTGGTGGGGGAAGGATGACGCTACATGGAATGTACTCACCAGCCAAAAATAGCACATAGTGATAATACTGATTGTGCAGCTGGAAAGCAGGGCTTTCCTGGCAACAGGGAAGGGCCTGAATGGAGCAAATCGCAGATAAACATCTATGTTGTTTTTTTCTTCTTTTTTTTTTTTTTTTTTAATAAATGTGAAATTTAGGCTGTTTTTTTATCATAATTGCTACCTTTCTGTGATCATATTGATTTCCTTTTCAGAATCCAATCCCAATCTCAAAAACCTTGCAAGTGGGATTGCTTTTGTTCCTTCTTCCATTCAAAATGCACGTGTAAAGCCACCAGGAAATTATATGGATATAGTGGGATCACACATATATAACCCTCCAGTACAGTTATGGCCTCACTTTATATGTTTTACAAATTAAATCCATTATTATAGCAATAAAGTGGGATTTTAACATTTGACATTTCTACAGATATCATAATAAAATTATTGATAGAAAAAGAGGTGATTTACTGTTCAGGACGCTTTAACAGCTTCTTGTCAAATGCGGAACTCTGCTCGTCATCAAATATACAATTTTTTGTCAGAAATACCTGTCTTGACTGCTGAAATATGGTGGTTTACTGTCCCTGCAAGCACAAGCTTGTGTTTTTTTTTTTGTTGTTCTTTTCGTGGAGCTATTTATTTGCTGTGGCATGTCTAAAATACTATGGTGTTTGTTTTTTTCCCAGGTGGTTGGATGGATTCTCAGTCTGGCCCTCATTCTGCACCTACCCAGTTTAGCAAGGATGGCAAGATGTTCACACTGACAGCAGGAATCAGAAGTTCTCTGGGCTTCACTGTTTCAACCTTCTTTCAGGAGTCTGGAGAATGGGTTGGGATCCCTGCCCAGAGAAAACTGGGCCAGCATAGTTGAGGAGGCATCTGTGGCTGATGTGGGGTCAGTAGCCCCTTCCAGTTTGCTGCCCTCCTGCAGCTCAGCCTCTGCATGGGTCTGCTGTCCTCAAGCTCTGCCCAGTGACATCAGTATCAACATGGAGAAGAATAGATTTTGCTGGTCTAGGACTCTTCACTGAATGTACCATATCTAAGAGCCACCTGGAGAAAGTTACCTTACCTTCTCTTTCCTGTACATTGGGGTGATGGAGGGCTTTTCCTCATGCTGAAACTGGCTCACAGCTGCAAGGCCTGTGAAATGCTCTCAAAATCCCCTCTCTGGTGTGTCCTGCAAACGTTGCACAGAAGTTATTTTGGAATACCTAAGCTGGCTTTTGGCAGGGAAAAGACATTCTTCAAAATTTTGTTCATAGGAGATCCTAGAGAGAAAGGTGACAAATCCTACCAAACCATGGTCCTGGCTTCTTTTCTGGTTCCTCCTTCCTCTTATTGTGATAATCATTTGCTACTAATTTATGTAAGATGGAGGAGCCCCTGGTGGTCTAGGGGTAAAGGCGCCGCGCTATCACCGCGGAGACCCGGGTTCGATTCCCGGTCAGGGCCACTCCCGGGCAGGTGGGGCTCGTTAGCCCTTAAAGGCAACCCACCTACGTCCTAAGGACCTCGCTGCCACCGTCCAAGCTCGCTTGGCCCCGGCAGATGAACCTTAGGATTAAAGGGTGGGCTCAGTTCCGCGCACACTGTGTCTCACCTAAAAAATCCAATGCGCAGGCTGGAAGGTGGAAAGACCTTCCCCGGATCTTCGCTCGCGAAGACTGGCCATTATTATGTAAGATGGAATTTACCTGCTTGCTTTGGCCAGCAAAACTGGTGAAGGTGGGAAGAAGGAAGTAAAATTCTATTCTTCATCTAGCTTTGACTTTCTCCATGGGAATTGTCTCATTTATTTTTACTGGTGTCACCCAACAAGGCACATAAGAAGGTCTTGTGCAGCCTCTTATTCCTGAAGAGAGTGGCAGTGAGCTGGCAAACTTTTACACCTGAATGAAAAACCTTGTTCCTGTCTTTTTCACTGAATCTGGTTTTGTTAAAAGAAAGGTCTCAGAGTTTTCTAAGCAATTGGTCAAAACTTTTTTGGTAATTTCTCAAAAAACCCCAGACAGAACAGTTGATGGGAGTAGTTGTTTTCAAGAAACAGACATATGGAGACAACATTTATAATTTTTGATGCCAGACACCATTTCTTTTCAGTTCTAGATTTCCCTTAAATGTAAACAAATTTTCTGTTCACTTGATTGAAAAATAATTGGGCAACTTATATATGTTTTCATTAAAGACAGGAATGATCACTTCATAGTTCCATTCTCACTTTTATTCCACAATGTATTAATTATATTGATAGTAATGGTTGTAAATGCTAGAATAATTAGTAGTTACCTGGGCACCCAAGTTCCAGTGGATAAAGATGTCAGGAGTTCAAATCTCATAACATGGACAGCTCCATTCCTATTAAGTGCTTTTGATTGCAGTCTAACAACCTAAAATTGGTTATACGTTAGGAATAAAACACAGCTTAATGCACAAAGTAAAAGATGCCAGGAAAATAACTTCACTAGCCTCTGAAATTACTGATAATAAATAATGGTTATGATAGTGAGATGATTTCTGCATTGGAAGCTGGAAGAATTTCTTTTAACATTGCCCTTCCTTTTAAAATATTTTTTCATCTCAGCTTTGATCTCATTTCATGCAACATATGTGAGAAGCAAAGCTGGACAAATAATTCATAAATGAATTATTTAGCTTGCGAGTGTCACCTCTATTTCTTTCAGCTAATTGTTCACAAATAGATAGTGACTTTTGTGAATGTATTCATTATTCAGATTTATTCAGTGGATAATTGCTGGGAGTAATTCTTTGTCTGTAGATTGCTTGGAAGCTTTTTGCTGTGAACATTTCATAGTAAAAATCTATCCAGGCTTTCAATACAAGACAAACTAAAATTATCTATAACTACTGATGCAGTCCTTAAACCTGAACAATATACTGCAGTCTTAAAGAGCAACAGGAACATTTTCAGAAAGAACTCCACTACTTCCCATGGTACACAGGAGGGAAAGCAAAGATATTTCAATTCTCTGTGTAGCACCGATGTTGAATGGTGCATATTGTATATGCAAATAAGTTTTTACAAGAAAGGGGTTGCTTAAGTGTTTGCTCAGCAGAAAAACAAGACAAGCCTGAACAAAACATGATTGACTTCCCAGAGAATAAATATGAACAGTCCACACAAAGGAATTAACTGCATAGCCAGTATTTTTTCTGCAATACCCCAGTGGAAGATGTCTAGGAAATAAACATAACATGATAAAACAATTTTACACTCATAGGATAGCTGTGTAACCATATGAACTCTTTTTCCATTTCCTTCTGCAGGAATAAATATTTTAGACAAGCAAAGTACTTTGTAAATGGTGCCTTTGTGAGGATTCATCTGGCCCAGTTCAATTATTCTGAAACCTAGCAATTTTCTCATATCATTTAATCTGGTTTTATTGCAAATAGGGTCATAGAAATAGTCACTCATTGCAATAATGGACTTCGTTTATCTTAACTATTAACACTTCCAGTAGGTTTACACACACGTATATATTCAATATTTATGGATATGCACAGTGCATATATATTAATAATGAAGTAACTTTATATCCAACAATCTGAAAACAAAATCACGTAATACCATACAGTGCAGGGTGCAGTGGTAACTGGAAGCAGCATATCAGGATAACAGAACAGAAAAGGAATAAATAAATTAGAGAGGAGTCTTCCGTATCTTCCTCAACTTCCAGAGCGTCAATTGAGCCTTTGTTCAGTATTCCACCTTTCGCGGTCCTGTGTACTCTTGATTAATAATTTAGAGATGCACCTTTTGGAAGCAAGGTAAATTTTGTATTTGCCAAGAGTGATTTTCCACTAGTCAGGGAGCACATTAGGAAATAACAAGGCAAATTGCCTCATAGAGTATAATTAGCTGCTGCCTTCTTCCTTTTTCTGCCTCTGGAGAAACAGGTTTACTGCTGAAAGTTGTGGGACACTCATGAGGTGTGGTATGGCACTGTTTCTGCACCTCAACCTTCCAGCAGAGAAAGCACTCTGTAAATCCCAGCCTCAAGACAAAATTCAGCTCTTTGGGCTGCACGTTTCTATTCCACATTCTGAAGGGTCATGATTAATCTGTTGTCTGGTGGTCACTCCAAAATGGGGAGTTTTGGTGGAGTTGGAGAAAAAAACCCGACTAACAAAAAAGCATAATGAAGACAGAGCACTGATGGGAAGATGGTCTGATAACACTTGGCATGTGTAGCCAGCCAGGCTGAAAGCAATCAGTTTTCTTTTCTGTATATCCATTAATTCCCATGATGCCCAGAGATCTGTGTATCCAGGTGCATTTTTCCCCAAGGAAGGGCAGTTGTGGTCAGCACAAAGTGCAGCATCAACAGTCCCTGTGGTGCTCTGTGGAGGACCCACAAGGTTATCCTCCCAGTGAGACCTTCTCTCTGCTCTTTAGATATTACTACCCTGTGCTGGAAGCTCTCAGTGATCACACAGATCTATAAATTCCCCTTTGATGCAAATAGGCAGACCTGGGGCCATTCATCCAGGAACTGTGGGTCTGGATTGCTAATCTTCGCAAAAATTAGATTAGGGATGGTATTATTACATGCAGCCATCTGATCCATCACAACTGAACTCATTTCTGAAGGCAGAGCCATGGCTTTATATGCAGATGTAGAAACATAGAATAGGTTGGAAAAGACCTTTAAGGTTACAGTGATTCTGTTAACCCAGCACTGCCACACCCACCACTAAACCATATCCCCAAGTGCCACATCTACGTGTGTTTGAAATACCTCCAGGGACAGTGACTCAACCACTTCC